CTTAAAGGGTCCAGCCGCCCGCTGCCCCCTGCCCCGTCTGGCCGTCCGAGATCGGGAACAAAGGAGTCAGCGCGTGGCCGGGCGACCGGAGGTGAGTCGGGGCCGGGTCCCCAAATCCCGAGCCCCCCCCCGAAACTCCTGTCTCCTCCGTGGGGTGGGGGTCGTGGCCCCGCTGGCTCCATAGGGGTTAATCACGGGCGGTCGGGACGGGGGCGGCGAGACCCCAGGGGCCAGGCCCCGGAGCCCCCAGGGCCGGGCCGGGTCTCCCCGCTCCCGAGGCCGAGCGCGGCGGCTGGGGAGGAAGGAGCCGCCCCCTCCCCCTGCGGCCGCCACTTCCTTTGTTGTTGCTTTTGTCTCACGCCGAGCACATGGCCCGGGATCCTCGGCTCTTAAAGTCACAGCGCTCCGGCCCGGCGCTGCGGGCTTGCCTCCCGCCCCGCGTGCCTCGGAGCGCGGCCCAGAGGAGTGGGAGGGGGACGAGGGAGGCCCCTCCCGGGCGGGCGATCGCGCCTCGGCCCGGCCCCACACCCGGGGAGGGGTGGTCGGGAAGCTTCCCGGAGCCCCGGGACCGCCCTGGGGACGGGCCTGCCCTCAGGGACGCCGCTTTCCCCGCGAATGTGACCACCTGGCTGCTGCCTGTCTCCTCTGGCTTTGCGCGGGCGTTCCGGGAGGCGCGATCTCCACCCCGGCTCACAGCTGTGGCACCTGAGGCTCACAGAAGTGAAGGGATTCCTTGGCCAAGGTCACCCCGGGAGTCCTGGCGGCCGAGCGCTCCTCGCTGCTGGTCGGGTGGTCTGGCCCGCCGCAGCCTCCAGGCTCCGCTCGTTGGGCAGCGCTGCCTGCGCTGGGCTGAGCCTGCCTCTGTGGGGTGGGGCGGAGAACAGGAAGGGGGCTTCTGTTGCTGCCTGAGACTGCTCGTGCTCCTGGGGTCGGACTCTGTTTCCGTCTGCAGAAGGGAGTGCCTCTTCTGCAGACAGACTCCAGGCCCAGATGACATGGCCGGGCTCTAGCCCGGGGGCAGGGTAGCTGCTTGGGGCCCCCGGATTTGCGTTGGCTGCCACCACGGAGGCAAGGCCAGACTTGGCGATGAGACTCCCGGACCGTTTATTCACACGGGCCTTGTGGACAGCACAGCACAGAGGAGGCGTGGGAAAGCAGAGCAGTTTGGGGGCGCCCGGCCACCCCTGCTGTTTGACCTTGAGCGAGTTGCAGCTTCTCTCCACAACAGAGTCAAGCACGGGCGCCTGGAAGACGGTGCCCCCCAGCCTGCCTTGGGGCTTGGAATAGAGGTGCCGGGTTAGGTCATCTCCTCGGCTACTGATGCCACCATGAGTTCTGGGCTAGCGGAGTCTGGGCCCAGGGCCTGCGGCCAGTTCTGTTCCTCTCTGGCTCTGTGACCTAGAGCAAGTTACTTCCTTTCTCTGAGCCTCAGTGGTCTCAACTGTGAAGTGGGTGTGTCCACTTTGCCACCTCTGTTCCGGTAGCACCAAGAGCCACTCTCTTCCCTTCTGAGGTTTTCCCCTAGGGCAGCGCATCTGCCCCCTGCAGACCCTGGAGGGACACCCAGGTTCTGCCTGGGGGTTGGGGACGGAGGTCAGCATGGTGTTTTCTAATAATCATTCACACCAGGCTGAGTTCAGTTTTTTTTTGTTTGTTTGGTTTTTTTTTGAGTTGGAGTCTCATTCTGTCGCCCAGACTGGAGTGCAGTGGCCGCTCCCGGCCACCGCAGCCTCGACCTGCTGGGCTCTGGCGATCCTTCCGCCTCAGCCTTCCAAGTAGCTGGAACTACAGGTGCGCGCTACCACGTCCAGCTAATTTTTTGATATGTTGTAGAGATGAGGTCTCGCCAAGTTGCCCAGGCGGGTCTCCAACCCGCGGGCTCAGGCAGTCCACTCACCTCAGCCTCCCAAAGGCGCGGGATGACAGGCTGAGCCACCGAGCCTGGCTTAAGTTCAGCTTTACAAGCTGTCTCCCCCGCTGCCTTGGCGCAGCCCGAGGGTGCACTGGGAGGTCGTTATGGGGGTGTTCCCATTTTACAGATGTGGAAGCTGAGACTCCAGGAGGGAAAGCCATATGGCCTAGAATCTGGCCAGAAGCTGGAGATGGTGTGTGTGAATCCGTGGGGTTGGCACTGGCTTCTGTGGCCTGGTGCCCAGCCCTGTAGGCCCTCGGTCAGGTGTCTTGGTTTCACAGAGAATGACCATCTTCCCTTCCCCAGGATGGGTGCCCTGGGCCCCTGTGGGAATCCTTGCCAGAGGAGCACTTGAGGCCGCTGGCTTGGTGGTCATTCTGGGCGCTTTACGGCCAAGCTGTCTTCACATCCCAGTGCACGCGTGATTCTAGCCTCAGGCCTAGTCCCACTGAGCCTCAGTCCTTGCCTCTACCGGTTGCTGTGAGGAACCTCCAGGATCTTTTTTTTGTTTGTTTTTGAGTTGGAGTCTCACTCTGTCGCCCAGACTGGAGTGCAGTGGCCGCTCCCGGCCACCGCAGCCTTGACCTGCTGGGCTCCGGCGATCCCTCCGCCTCAGCCTTCCAAGTAGCTGGAACCACAGGCGTGCGCCATCACCCCCAGCTAATTTTTCTTGATTTATTGTAGAGATGAGGTCTCGCCACGTTGCCCAGGCTGGTCTCGACCTCATGGGCTTAGGCAGTCCTCTCGCCGCGCCTGGCCCCCACCAAGATTTCATTGCTGCTTTTCCTTCCCAGCAGAAGTGGGCTCCCAGGACTTGCGCGGTTAGCTGGAACAGAGGGTCCCAAACGCAGCTGCTGCGGAAGCTGCTGGAACTGGACAGCAGTCCAGGTGTCCTTGTCCCTCCCCAGCCCTCCAACGACTGCCCTGGAGGCTGGGGTGGCAGGAGCCTGTGAGCCTGATCCGGGCCTTCCTCTGAGCCTGCCTGGGCTGTTTGCCAGGCTGGCTTGTCAGCAGGGCTGGGGATGCTGTGTGTGCACACGCATGTGCACTTGGCCCGTGCCAGGGGTCACAAGCCCAGTCACCTGTGGTGGACAGACAGAACGGGCCTGGCGTGACCCAGGGGAAAGCGCATGCCCTCAGAGTGAGGGGCCGAGCAGAGATGAGGCCCAGTGGGACCGGAGTGTCCCTGTGTTCCCCCCCACGGGAGGCCAGGTTTCTTGTAATGTCCCCGTTTTTAATAATTGGCACTACAGTCATCACCGTCGGACTGTGTGGCCTTGAGCCTGTGGGCCTGCCCTGTGCAGGCGCCAGTGGCCGCCGGGCATCCTGCGGAGCAGAGAGGAGGTGCCTGGCTCCCACGCCTCTCGAGGACAAGGCCCGCCCGCACAGAAGCCTGGCGCGGGCTGGAAAGGCAGGTGGCTGACGGTCACGCTGGCTCCCTGGCCCTGTCGGCGGTGCTGGAAGTTGGCACCAGGCCAGAGGGCTTCTGGTAGCTGGGTGGGGGGTGGGGGGTGGGGCCCCCCCAAGGTGGGCGCAGCCAAGGGCCTCCGCCCTGAGGGCCTGACAGTTCCGGGGCTTCCCTGCCAGGCTGTCATCGGCCCCCTGAGGTTGAACAGCAGCCCAGGGGCTGAGCTCAGCCCCCACGGCCCCCCTTACCTGTGCGCTGACCCGGGCAGGACACCCCGCCCACTGCTCTTCCTGCCCCCCTTTCTCAGGTTCTTGCTTCCCTTTTTGTCTCCCGCCCCGCCTCCCACTTTGGGGCGGCGGCGTCACCAGCTGTGAAGCCTGGGGCTGCGGAGTCGCCCCTCTCCTGGCTTTCTCACTATTGGAGGGCCTTGGGCTAGTCTCGTCCTCTTGCCCAGCCTCAGTTTCCCCTCTGTAAGATGGGCAAACGGTGCCTTCCTTGAGGAATGGCCGACGTGCCCTCACGAGGCGCTGTGGTGGCCGTCAGGAAACGAAAGAGCGCGGCCTTGCCTGGGACTGGAGCCCCTGAGGGCGGGGCCGGCCTGGAATCCCTCCTGGAGTCACCCCGGGAACCCCACTTCTGACACAGGCGGAAGGAGGGCCTCGCCCCGGCTCCGCGCCAGGACAGGGCACCCTGGGGACCTGCCCAGTGGGCGTCTGGTAGAGCCAGCGGGCCTGGGGCGGGCTGGCTGGCTCCCGCACCCAGCGCGGTCCTCAGGGGCCCTTGGCTCTGGACACAGTCCCCAGAGGAGGGCTAGAGCCCGTGACATGCAGCGCTGGGCCCTGGCACCACACTGCAGGGGCCCGGGTCTGCCTTGCGGCCGCTGATGAACCAAGGCTGGACTTCGCTGTGCCTCAGCTTCCTTGTTTCCTGCGCCCTAGGGTCGTGAGCCCCGGCCCAGCCCCTCCGCCCCCC